ATTGTAGGGGCCCTACTGTGGGTACAAATACCAAATATCGCACACCTGTATGGTATCACTGTGAATGGAGATATTTAATTTTTGAGTGGTTGGTAATGACAAGAAATATACAGCTAAAAAAAAAAAACTAATTTTGGCCATTTTTTTCCTTTTTGATCTGGTGGAAGAAAAAAATCATCTTTATCATCTATTATGTAATGAGGCCCTATTTGTCCTGAAGAAAACACGGTACAATTCGCCCTGATTTAAGATATGCCCAAATTTACAAACGCATGACAAAGTTGCAAAACAAGTTCAGGCATTCAGGTTTTTTTTTTTTTTAACCTTCTGCATTAAAGGAGAACTATGGGGTCAGTGTTTTTCCCCATTGTTCTCCTACGGGTCACGGGAGGACACAAACTAGCGTTCTCCCGTGACCGGAAGCTCAGTATACCGCGAACTACAGCTCGTTAAATACTGAGACCGCCGCAGCCGGGACAGATCCGGACATTACTGTCGAGATCCGCCCAGCTGCGTGAGTGACAGCTGGCTCTGTCTATCTAGAGGCAGAGCCAGCTGTACCCGCCCCCTCCCCCGTCCGTTCCGCCAGTTAGCGCTGGAGGATCGGAGAGGGGAGGGGGGGGAATCCCTGCCACAGTCACTGCTCTCTGCAGGGACAGGATCGAGAAGTGAGCGAGCGACGGTATGTGTTCGCTCACTTCCCGATCTATAGAGCCGACCTGTGACAGTCTCATTGTCACACATCAGCTCAAACTATGAGGATGAGTGAAAATCACTCGCCTCAGAGTCCTCCTTTTTAATGTAAAGTTATTCATTACATTTCAACAACACGGAATCACCTGCAGTGTACGGCTGCCAGGCTGCCAAGTAATAGAGATGGAGCTGAGATTTCGGTGCCTGTGTTGTGAGATTTGAAGATCGATTTCTCCACAAGGCTCATAGATACAGAGACGAATGAGGGTTTGTTACAAATGCTTTTACTGCTTATTCAGAATATCTTATAATTGCGTTCACTCTGGACAAAGCATGCTGAGACTTGTAGTTAGCCGGCAGAATGAGAGGATACCTCAGTTTGCACAATGTGATGTAGAACCGTCCTCCTCCTCGGGCCCTCCCGTGACTCGGTCGAAGATCATAATTTACAGAAGCTGCGAAATCTGACAAAGCGTTTTCTTTTTTGGTGGTGATTTCGCTTTGTAGATCGTTTCCTCTGTGCATTCCTCTTCCTGACACTGAATCATTGAGTAAAACAGCTGAATAATTTATGTTCCAGCGCAATTACGCCCCCTCGGCTTTTGTTAAACGAGTCTTTTTTTTTTTTTTAACCCTTCAGTACCCGTACCATGAGCAAGATTTTGTACTTTGTAGGCCCTCGTTTTGCAAAAGTGATTCTAATTCGGCTTCTCCTTCTCCTCAGGTGAACCGTGTGGGCTGCGTTCACTGAAGGCGTTACAAGTCTGACCTGTGCTGACCTCCGGTGGCACCGCGCGGGCACGTGTGAAAGATGCAGACGTTCCTGAAAGGGAAGCGGGTCGGGTATTGGATGAGCGAGAAGAAGATCAAAAAGCTCAACTTCCAAGGCTTCGCCGACTTGTGCAGGTAAGGTGCAATCGTAACGCCTTGGTTATGTAACAGAGCGGTGATAACTCTGTAATGTGTGGAAAATAATCAGCTGATATTTTAGTGTTTGGTGAATTAAGTTTTTACAATTTCATGAGGACTCTGTTGGTAAGACCTTTGTGCTGAATTCCATTGTCTCCATTATGAGGAGCTCCCGCTATCCCTGTGCTGATTTCCCGGGTCTGTACACCTGCTGTGCCCATTATGAGGGGCCCCACCATCCCTGTGCTGATTTCCCGGGTCTGTACACCTGCTGTGCCCATTATGAGGGGCCCCCACCATCCCTGTGCTGATTTCCCGGGTCTGTACACCTGCTGTGCCCATTATGAGG